GAGCCGCACCACAGCCACGTCCTGAGGTGAGCTCCTCGTAATCCTGCAGGGTCCCTAACTGAAACGCCTAGAGCACGAAATTCCTCTGGGGCAGTGATACCGAAAGAGCTCTTACAATCTGTTTCTGTCCCCAGCGCTGCAGCGAAGGCCCAGCCCGAGTCGCCCGCCTGCATGACGTTCTTTGAGTTTGATGCCAGGTTCGATGTCCAGGAGCAGCTCTCGCTGAGCCCTGCTGAGCCCGGCACATCAGGAATGGGCTTCGGTGGGAGCGTCACTGAAAACCTTGTTGAGGGGAGCAGATCCTCGGGGTCCGGGCACCCTTCAGCCTCCTGGAGCCCAGGCAGCAGAAGCGGAGGCTGTGCCCCCGCACCTCCCGACAACAGTAAGAGAGTCTGGAGTTTTATTCTCCGAGGGGTTTGTGGGCGGCTTCTATTCATCCCTTTCCCAAAATAGTAAAGGAGGGTGAGTTCATAGATCTGCCAGAACCTGTACTGTAGTATCGAAGTAAATGCCTCTGATGTGGGGCGCTCGTTTCTACTAAAGGGACTAAAAAGGTTCCTACCGTGAGCAGCCAGCGCTTCAGCAGGTGACGCTCACCCGGGTACCCAAACCTCTTTGGCCTCGGCCCTGCCAGTTTGGATACTTTGTTCTCTCATTTTACTCCGTCCCACCACGCAGTATTTTGGCTCCACTTAAGAGAGAGTCCCTGTGAGAAACTGGAGCCAGAGATGGGAACTCGCGAGAAGAAAACAGGAGGAAGCAACTTTAAAGCAGTGAAACAGAGAAATTGGGGCTGCAGCTCTTGACTGCGCCGAAGTCACTGGCAAATTGCAATTGCAATGGGAGCAGAGTTTCAGTTCTGCACATTGAATTACATGAGCTAAACAGGTCGCTTTTGTACTTTTAAGAACGTGGCGATTTTCGTACGCGCTGCCCTTGCAATCCTGATGGAGTGGGCAGAGTTTAATCGCTGAAACATTAACTTAGAAGACGTGCTGCTTAGCAGGGAGCTTCCCAGGCAAGGGTTAAGCCACGCACAGAGCGTGGTTTGAATGATTCCATGTCACAAGAATAAGGTGTTTGAGGAGGACTTTGGAGGCCCAGCTTGTGGCTGTAAAAGAGAGGCCGTCCGCACAGGGAACCGCTGACACGCAGCGTGTGGACGTTATCAAAACCGCGCCAGTCTTTTGCAGGTAGTGGGGAAGCCATCAGGGAAATCGATCTCATTTGTTTAATAACTGGTAATGTTTTAGGATACGTACATATGACACACTGGAGCCTCGATGCCAGCTACATACATATCAATCTGATGAGTAAACCCCTCAAGTAAAATGCAAATGTCCAGGGTTTGAAAGATGTTATGGGAAAGCCACAAAATCTGCATCTCTAATGACTGGAGTGCCTGCAGGTGCCATTTTGCATCAACTCCAAATAAAGTGCTGGCTCGCCAGGGAGATTTTTAAAGAGTGATTCAGAGAGCAGGAGCACCTCTCTGCTGCCCTTAATGGCTTAATGCCTTGGCCTCATCCCCCGAGAGCAGCCCCCAACAGCCCCTCGCTTCCACACGCGCGGTGGGGACCCCCGTGCTGCCATCCCCTCTTACAGCTGGTCACATCCCGTGTGGAGCCACATCCACCCAAACTGGCACCAGGTTGGCTTTTGAGAGCGTTATTTGACTATTTTTGACTTTTCATAAGAAGGGACTGGGAATTCACCCGGCAACGCTCGTGCAGTAGCGGTTCCTGCCAGCACGGGTGGCTCGTGGCTGACCCGAGGCCTCTCACCGTAGAGCAGTCAGGATCAAACGGGTAAAATGCCCCAAAGCAGCAGTGCAGGGATCAGCAGAATCCACCTCCGTCCAGCCACAGCACTTTAAGGTACCAGCTAAGCCTGCACAAACCCACTTTGTGCCAGAAGGGGAATCTCTAGACGCTGGCTCTAGAACCCTTTTCCACCCACCCTCCTCCGGCCCTGGAAGAGGCACAGGCGAGCAGATGGAGCTTTTCAGCAATCCAGAGAATCAATTCCTCATGCTACATCGAGCTAGGTAGATTGGGATTGCCATAGCAACTGGAGAGAGAACCCGACTGCAATCCTGGCAATCCTTTTTAGAAAAGAAATACACTTTCACTCATCTTTTTCTTCTCCCTTACCAGCCACCCTAACTTGTGATCAGTGGTTTTACCTCACAGCGAGAGCTCTCTTGCTCTGAAGAGATTTTTGCAAAGACAAAAGCTTGAATCGTATTTTGCGTAGCGCCTTGTACAGCACTTCAAACACACGAGATGGATTCCCCTCAGTCCCGAGGCAGATCACAAGGTCCGGGGGCAGCCCAGCCCCCATCTCTCTGAGGAGAGCAGAGTCTGGCCCCACCACGCTCCTGCCGGG